CGGACCAACACCAAGTTCTACAGGTTGATCACTACATAAAAAAAACACAGTACGCTCACTTTGTCACGGCCTCTCAATTTGGCTTCCGTCACCGTTTGCTGGGTGCTATTTGCTAAGAGGCCCCGAGCTTGCGGTTCGTCCATGCAACAAAGAGGTCTGTTTTGGCAACAGCCAGGCCGCTGAATGGAGCTTTAGGACCTTGGGACTGGGGGAAGGTGAGGATATTGTTTCGTAGGTTTCAGGAACTGTTGCGACGTATGATGCAACTTTTGGGGTTGTTGTTGTTTTGTTCCTTTGTCCTGAGTCGGGGTCTTCTTTGTGCGCCAATTGGGTTTGTGGTGTTTATCCCTATTTGGTTCTTCAGAATTGTTCTCATTCTAAACCAAAAAGGGTTTGCCACACACCCTTCAGCAGCCAAGAGATCCATAGCTTTCACAGCTCATGGTAGGGCCAATCCACTTCCAGCAACACCCTTGTAGCGCCTCTGAGATCGTCAATATCGCCTGGGCATTGGATTGTCTTGGCTGGACCGACCAGGGCGAGGTGCGTCGCCAAAGATGAAGTGCCGGGGCTGCTTCAGGTCGAGTTTGATAGAGTGAGAGATCTACTTGGGCGGTCAGGTTTTGCCTTCCAACCATGCTACTCACAAAAGGACAAGGGGCATCATCAAAGTTCGTAAATCGTGCTGAAAAACCCAACGCAATGTGATCACAGGGGCCTGTTGATGGGGAACTTCTTGTGCACCAGTCTAAGAGTCTATAGTTATTCTGCGGGCAGCGGGCATTCACAGCAAGCCCTTGAGACAAGCGAGGGCATGGATTTAAAACAAGTCCAACTTATATACATATATATAATATATATGTTGCACATAGTATTGTGTATAAATAAATAAATATATATATATACATATATATATATGTGTGTGTGTCACCCCCTGTGCCAAAGGGTTCACTGCCATCGTTACCGCCACCACCTTTCTCCAAAGCAGGGGGCATGGCAGCTGTTTCCCTAGCCATGCCAACGAAGCTACGGGATTCAGCCGGAAGGGAATGTGGACGCACATTCCTGTACCTGCAAGAAGAACTTTTTTCAAGCTGTCCAATCCGCACGGTTTGATTCATGGTGGTTCCACGATACTTCCCCCAAACTTTTTCCCCACCGCAGACCTGCAGCCGCTTTGCCGCTGTGCGCTTTCCGCAGTCAAGTGCGAAAACCATTGTGTTAAAACACCTACACTTTCCTGGACTTTTCGCCATGCCGTTCCCTCACCATTTTTGACCTGAGAATTGAGTGTAACTGAATACAATTGTCAGAGTGCGCGTTTTTTTATCATATATAATATATATATATATGTGTGTGTGTGTGTGTGTGCATGGCCAATGTCACATGTGGGTTGCAATAGCTCCCATACCCCTCAATGAACAGTTAAAGAACCGACCCTTGGCATTGAGTTTTTTGAAAGCAGAATCCAGTACTCAACGTTCAAAAACACTCAGACCTAGGACATCTGGCAGCCTGGCAGCCCAAGGGGTGCTGACGCCAGACACCGGGTTTTTGAGCACTCCGGAAATGCTGACGTTAGGCCGCAGCTCCGTGCATGCCACACGTGGCGGCCTTGCATGGTACGTTTCTTTATTCAAGTGCCTTTGACATTGACATGCCTGCTGCGCTGCCAGGCCTTTTGCCGCATCCTGCAGCAGTTCCTGAAGGCCTTTTACCATCACCAAGTTGTAAAGTTTCTTGCGCTTTTGAAACGAAGGTCGCGTTCAGGTTCCGTGTCGGGGTCCACTCGCTGGTTGAGCCAAAGCCCGTTGGAACTGAGTGTGACTCCTCCGTTTGTATCTCCGAAGGGGGACGGTATGATGATGGCCGGGGGCCATTTCAAGTGGCAGGCCTCCACTGTTTGAGGGTGGACCCACTCACTTCACTTCACGCGCTCAACTCAACTCACTTCACTTCACTTCACTTGATTTCACTCACTCACTCACTTACTCCCTCGCTCGCTCGCTCGCTCTCTCTCTCTCTCTCTCGTTGTTCCTCTTTTTTGGATCCCTTCGTTTTTCACCCATACCGACAACCAGCGTGCAAAGCATCATATGTCATAGTGTTGACCCCCCCCAGTGGGGCAACCACATCAGAGATGCCGAGATGCGTCCAATTTTTGTTGCTTTTCCCTAAGCAGTGTGGTCACACTAGGGGTTCTTCTTGTAGTTCGTATGTGACCTCTACATACCTCTACATCCTCTACTCTGTTTGGGGTCTCTTGCCGGGATCATTTTCTGAATAAGACCAAAAATGCTTCGGCACATGCTTCGGTGGGGGTCACCCGCGCGGCGTGTTCGATGTGGGTTTCGCCAGGTTTGCAGCGGATCCCTAGGAGTGGAATGGATCACTTTGGCCAGTCTTGCAGAGGAAGCCCAGATTGGGGCGAGTCCGGGGGGGTCGAAGGATGAAAGTAGGCTCAGGCTGAAGAGGGGAAGGAGGACTGAGGAATGTGTTGTTTTTTGGTTTTTTTGGGGCGGATGAAGGAGCTGGGAGCTGGTGCTTTCAGAAGGTTTTGGAGACCCGTAGGCGCGTGAGTGAGTGAAAGTCTTTTGGATAATTAATTGATGGCACCAGTTGCCCAGTGGAGCCGGTCGCTGCTTGCCCCGGCCAGCTGCGTTGTTCCAACCGCTTCCGCCGAAGGTCGGGCCGCTTATCCCTGAGCTCGGCGCCAAACCTCTGGAAGACCATTCCTCTAGAACCGGTTTTGCACAGGAATGGTTCCAGACTCAAGGGGTAAGCACAGGAATGGTTTTGCACAGGAATGGTTCCTGCTTTGTCAGTTCCATGTTCTTTTGGCAGGAGTAGCACTTCCTCCGAGGTGGTTGGCTTTGGGTGTCTGGACATCCGTCGACGGCCATCCGTCGGATCCGGCCAGGAGCGGCGTGTGGTCCTCCCAAGCTTTACGGTTCGGGTCTTAGATTCCGAAGAGGATCAAGACCTGGGCACCCTGAACCACTGAACATGACAGGGTTCCTCTTCACCGTCTCCCAAATGTCAAGCAAAACCAGAGTGGCAGAATGTGGCAAGGTGGCACAAGCATTCAGTCATTGGCCCTAGGGCTCCAAGCCTCAGAAGGTATTTGGATCCCTCTAAACCCACCCCAAACACCTTCTTAGAAGGCCCTTGGAGCCCTAGGGTGGAATGGTTTTGCACTTGATGAGCACATCACATGGTTTGGTCTTCGCATGGGCCCCCCAAAGGTGGACGACTTTCTGAAGACCAAACCGGTGGCAGGTGACACTGACACGACTGGTCGGACTGGCATATTTGCATACGGCATACAACTATATATTGTTTTCAGAGGTTCGATGGCACAAACCTAAAGATGTCTTTCATATACTGTAATATATATATATATGTATGGGGTCTAATTATATAAAACAACCTTTTGAGGATTGTGCCATCGTATACTCTGAAACCACTGTAGGGGTGGTGGATGAGCCGGTTAATGTAGTAGGCTGTACCACGATCCATGGGTTTCTTGAAGCCTGGCCGGCCGCAAACCAGAGCAGGGCCGCATGGTATGAAGGCGCCGAGAAGTCATTGCAATTGTGTGATCACTTTCCTCTTCTTGTGGCAATTTTTTGCAACACTTTTCCATGGATTCAGTCTAGTCAGCTGCAGCGCGTGGTGGATGATACAAAATGATACGCACGTGATGGCAAAACTGCTCCTTTACATGTCTTTCGTGGTATTGGATCAGGGGAGGGTGCCTTCCTGCATTGGTCAACACAGCCAAGATTGCGGGATGCCCTTGAGGCATTCTTTTCCGTGAAGCGTCCTTCGAACATGGACCACGTGCACACCGAAAAGCCAGGCTCTGGGGCAACCACTGCACCCGGAACATCCTGTGTTTCCACAGGTTGAGCATTGTTGTTCTCTGCGCAAGGCCGAAACCCGATCCCCACCGATCCGAGCTGAGAGGCCCCCCC